ATTTCTTTGCAGTAAAGCATGTAGTGGATGAACTATGGTCGACAAATTACGAATAAACTTGGCTACGTAATTGACAACACCTAGAATTCTCCTTAGTTCTTTAACATTAGTTGGCGTCTTGAGTTTTTGGATAGCCTCAACACGAGAGGGATCTGGCTTAATACCATTTTTAGTTACAAGGTGGCCTAGTAAACTGATACTGTCATGCCGGAACACACATTTTGATCTATTAAGTGTCCAGCCCTTTTCCTGGAGCCTACACAAAACACGATGTAAATTTTTGTCATGTTCTTCCATATCTTTCCCGTATATAGTTATGTCATCGAAATGGCAAACAACACCTTGAAGGCCTTCAAGTGATTCAGACATTTGACACTGGAATACTTCTGAGCCAGTGGAAATCCCGAAAGGAAGTCGTAAAAATCTGAACCTTCCAAAAGGTGTGATGAAAGTAGTCAAATATGAAGCTTCTTCTGTTATGGGTATTTGCCAATAACCCGAGTTAGCATCTAGTTTCGAGAACACCTTAGCACCATCTAATTGTCCCAGAGTGTAGTCTACAGAGGGCACAGGATATAGTTCTCGTTTAACACTCTCATTAAGTTTAGTAAAATCTACGCAAAGTCTTATTGAATTGTCCTTTTTAGGGACAATGACAAGAGGTGAACACCAGTCAGTCGGAGTGTCTACTCTCACGATAACACCTTTATCCAACATTGCATCTAGTTCTGTTTTTACAGCATCTTTATAGGGTAGGGGAACACGCCTTGGAACTTTGAGAGAGTATGGTTCAACGTTTGGCTTTAATTTTATATTATAATGAGCTTGTGTATCACCAAGACCACTGAAAAGTTTAGGGTATGATGTAAAAGGATCAAATGAGCCAGTTGAGTTGACTCGAAACATCCTTTTAACTAGACCCAATTTTTCACTAACTTCATTGCTCAAAAGGGTTCTATCAGCACCAGATATTACATAAAACTGAGACTTACAATATTGATTCTTGTACTGGATTGTACCCTCGAATACGCCTAAGATATTAAGGACAGATCCGTCAGGCCCAATTAAAGCTTTGTTACTTGAATTTAGTGGGTACATAAATAATTTCAACTTATAAAGTGATTGGGGCAAGACACAAACGTCAGCTCCAGTGTCTATCTTAGCTTGAATGCATACTCCATTTAGTTTAACTTCAGCAGACCATTTTGCTTTAGGATTCTTTTGAGGATTAACAGACCCCACAAATTTGTCACTCTTAATAACTTCATCTTGAAGAGGGTTTGAATTTATTTCCTTGACATTTTTGAACTGGCAACATTTAGCAAAATGGCCCTTCCTGTTACAGTTTCGACAGAAAATATTCCGGGCAGGACATTTTGGTCGTTCATGTTGAGCGTTACCACACCACTGGCATTGATTATAGTAATTGGTAATGGACGCTTTGGAATCAACTGGAGGTTTCTGAGCAAATTTAGTGCCCCAAGTCCTTGAAGTGACTTTATCTGCAGTTAGTGCATGTTCAGAAGACCCGGACCTCATCAATGATTGTTGCATTTTAACCGATTCGGCTTGCTTAACATTTGAGACAGCAGAATTAAGGGTTAGATCTGCATTCATTTGTAGTTTTTCAGATAAACTTTTGTCTCTAATCGCTACAACAAGTTGATAGCCTCAATACAATAGTTCGTATAGCCTCATCTTTATAAGAAGCAGGAAAATCGCATCTAGAAGCCATCTCATGAAGATCATGAATCAAACTTTCAACACGCTCTTCCTCATGTTGAACCCTAGTATGAAACATGTACCTCTCAAAGATTACATTTTTAGAAGGAGCGAAATATGTATAAAATTTTTTAAAACAGTTTTGAAACTTTAACATTCCTCAGATGTCAAATTAAATGATTCAAATATGCTTTCGGCCTTTTCGCCCATCATATATAGTAAGGTGTTTACCTGATATGGTTCGTCTTCATTGGTGAGCCCAGATACCGCATGAAAGCGCAAGAAACGGGTTTTCCATTTAGACCAGTTTTCTCCTTTAAAATCAAAATGTTCTGGGGTAGGAACACTAAAACTTTTCATCTTCATGTACTGTATATTGCTAAAACAATAAAAAGCCCGCTGCCACCATGTAGTGTTATCGCAAGTTAAATTAAAATATAGTTTTAATAAGACAAATACTTTATTAGGTAGCTTTTTACAATAAACCAGATTCAGAATGTTTACCAACAAAAACTAAACAAATAATATTCTAACACCATATGTTTTCAAACACATATGAATAACAACACAGTATTTAAAACTTTCAAAAAGATCTAGAAAGATTAGTTGCAACTAATGTTTTAGGTCCAAATCAGAAATTGAACATCATAAATCAGTACCTATGGCCTAGACTAACATATGTTTTGCAAGTAACACCAAACAAATTAATAAGTATTACATTTCTTGAGGACATAGATAAAATTATTAGAAGTGCAGTAAAATAAATTCTCACTCTACCAAGTGACACACCCAATTCTTTCTTATATTCCCCTAAAAGATTCAAAGGTCTGGGAATAATTTGAGCAAAATGGGAAAGTTCTATACAGCATAAGTTATAAACATGTGTGCAATTCTAAAAAATATACAAAATAGCCATGTAAACGAGCTAATAAACATCCCCCAAAGAGTTACCATGTCACTTCAAAAACTTCAAATAGAAATTGATGATATTTTTACAAAGAATTTTGAATTTAAAGAGAATAAAAGAATTGGTTTAAATTTGAGATCAAAATTACAGTTGAAAGAATTTTAACTTTGGTCTAAATTACCATGTAAAGGTAGAGGAATAGAATTATTCAAAGAAGTGCCTAGTAGCAACACATGGATATATTTAAAAAATGGCCTTACTACAGGAGAATGGATCACTTCATTAAAAATGATATCTGGTGTTGTACCAGTACGCAGCGTACCAGGGCGAAGCCAGCATGGAACCCTTTGCAGACATTGCAAGGAGCCTGAAACCCTTCCGCATGTCCTTGGCTCTTGTCCCTTTGGTGCCTTACTGCGTAATGCAAGACACCATGCTGTAAGAGCAATTATCGCAGAAGAACTACGAACAAAAGGCTGACAAGTAGTGGAAGAAATACATTGCATTGAAGATGGTGGATCGAACAGAAGATTAGACATTTTAATATATGATACAAAATCTAAAAGTGGAATTGTAATTGATCCAACTATAAGGTTCGAAACATCAACAAATCAACCCCTAGAAGTAGATGAAGAAAAGAGGAAAATTTATAGTAAATGTGAAACTTATTTAAGAAACAAATATAATTTAAATTCTATATCAGTAATTGGCATAATGATTGGTGCAAGAGGTACTATTACAAAATTTTTTGAAGAATTAAAAAAAATAATCTTCCATCAAAATTAAAAAATGAAATAGTGTTAAAAGTTTTAAAAGAATCATGTAAAATCATTCAAAATCATTTATATGGACAACGTTATTAATCTAAGTTACATATTATTTATATCATAAATTTAAGTTTTTTTTACTGTGTCTAATATGCAAAGTTTATTAATAAACTCAGTTTTCAAAATAAAATAAAATTGTTTTTATATAAGTTTTTTCTTTTTCTTTTTTTCTTCTTAGTTGCAGGTAATTGCATCGAACAAATTGTCAATACTTTGTTTATAGCCTAACAATAATTTACAAGAACACTTCCCCCGATCACAGATCAGATTTTTTTTTGGAGATTTGATTTGATGTGTGATTTGGTGGACAGATGAGAAGGTATCGGTTTACAAGATATGAAGCAGGATGATGTAGGCTACAAGATAAGAGCAAGATGATATACAAAATATTATCTATATAAATAAAATTGGTACATGATAAAATTGATACACAAACAGATAAAAATAGACTTAATAAAATTCAGAGAATGGAGACAGTGGGTGCCTAGGCCTAGCTTAGAGATTGGAGTGTGGTAGGCTGTCTAAATTGTCACTTTGGTGGTTTGGGTGGGGGAAGAGTTGTTTATGTGTTTGTATATAGGTATATATGAGTGTTGCATGTGATTTTTGTAGTTTTTTGTTTGTTTAGGTGTAAACTATGTGTAGATTTGTTCTGTAGCAATGATTCGTGTATAGTCTGATGATGTATGTACATGATGTGTGATTGATGGCTGAGCTTGATGAAGTTTTCCTAAGCTGCCCTCTGATTGGTCGAGGTCCTTTGCTTTCTGAGCTTGGCTTCTTGATTGAATCAAGATGGCGAATCACAGTTACATACTTAACTTTTGAATAGAAGTTAATGATGAATAAGTTCAGATCAGTGACGTAGCCAGGATTTCAAAATAGGGGCGGTCAACCGACCGGGGGTCATCGTAAAAAGGGGGGTCCGGGAAAATGATAAAAATACAGGCCCTAAAACGGTATTTTTTAGCTCTCTTAGCATTGAAAATAATCAACCCCAACGTCAATACGGTGTTATTATATAATTTTACATTTAATGTAACAAAAATAATATTATATTTAAGACCGGAAGGGGGGGTCAGGACTCCCAGGAACCCCCCCCTGGCTACGTCACTGTTCAGATATAATAAAAAGCACTTTGGATTTTTCAAAGTTTAAGTTTGTTAGAATTTATAGAGCCTTGGATTATTAAAAAAATTTTGGGAACTGTATTAATTTAGAAATAGTGGATAAAAGTTCTGAGTGAAGCTCCTATGGTTGAGAAGATGGCTTGGTCTTACCAATGTGTTGCGATGTCCTATGCGTATCTATAATTTCGAGTATATAGCAAAGTTGTGGGTTTTCCAGTTGTTGCGTACTTAAAAATTCACTTTGAAACTGTCAGTAGGTTCCTGCTCACTGCCGCAAACATTTTATTCATCCAGTTGGTGAGAATCAGTGCTGTGACAGTACAGGAGTCACTACATGTGGGTTTGGTGACAGTAACCTCTGTAGGGTCTAGGCTACACTTCTCTACTAGTATTGACATATGTGTGGTTGTTTAGGACCCTGGACGGTTCCAACTTCAGTCAGTTGGTGAGCATCAGTGCTGTGACAGTACAGGAGTCACTACATGTGGGTTTGGTGGCAGTAACCTCTGCAGGGTCTAGACTCTACTTCTCTACAGGACCTGCAAGCCAACGTCCCACCACTCTACACTTACTGCACGTCAGATTACCTCCGGGGTTTGCTGCTAATGCACCCACTAACAGGCCAAGCACTGTGCACATCGCCCTATACTCCCAAGGTAACCCCTTTGCCCAAGCAACAGGAATCAACTTTTTATTTTTTAATATTGTACAAAATAGCAGTTTTCATCACTAGGAGCGAAAGTTTCTCTTTTTGGCTCGAAATTGCACTTAGAAATACGATCAACTACCAAAAAGACACTTTCACTCCGTTTAATGAACAACTATTTTTATCATACTGTGAAAATAACCTTCCAATCGTTACAAAATCAGTAGGGTGTGCGAATATTCCAAAGTTCGAATTGTTGAACTTTAAGTATTCGAGCCCGGACTCGATCTTAATGAGTATATTCGGACCTTTTAAACCGCATTTTACCGCTCTTAGGGCAACGGTTAGGTGAGTAACATACAATTTACACACTTGTAAATTGTATGACCACTTTTATTGCAATATACACAAGTCTGCTGATCCATATTTGTGGAAAAAAGAACAGGTTTAGCCTGTGAAGTTGTCGACTGTGAGTTATGGGATTGATTTGGCCTAGGATTGAATTGTGAGTAACCAGAGAAACTTTTGGCAGTTGTGTGGGCTAAGTTTGCTGCCTCTAACTCAGTGCAGTCCTTTTCAATAAAATCGAGAAGTTGTTTAATTGTAGGTGGTGTTTGAAAGTCTATTCGGCTATGCTCAAATTTCTTCCTAAAGTCATAATCAAATTTACGTAAAAGATGAATCGTTAATATCAGACTTTCAGCACAGATGTCATGATTTAAGGCACAAAGGGCATTGTTGACACAAATGTTCGGAGTTGCTTAACAGAACAACCATGCATTGAGGGAAGATCTAAAATGTTGTTGAAATGTAGGGTAATAAGCAACCTTGAATTATTGTAACGTTGATGGAGTTGCTCCCAAGCAATGTGATAGTTGGCTGTGGTTACTGGTAACCCCTTGATTAGATTTAGAGGTTCACCACTGAGACATGACAATAGATAGGTGAATTTTTCTACTATCGGTAATGTTAGAATCCTTATGTACGGAGTTTTCAAATAAGTTATGAAATTTAATCCATTTTTCGGGTTGACCAGCAAATGTACCAAGATCAAGTCGAGTGAGGCGAAGACCAGAAGTGGCTATTACAGAAATGGTGTTACTTGTTTGGGATTGTTCTAAATTGGGTTTATTGACTGGAACACATACAGTACATACACAGTGAATTTTCAAAAATAAATCATTGATTTCATTTATGCAATTGGATTACTTGATCATCGTCAATGTCTTCAGATATGGGGCCTGAATTAAAAAGTCTAGTTATGGACTATGGTTGACTCAAACTCGGTACAACTTGGCGCATCGACTTGAGATTCGAGCTGAGTTAGACGAGCTTTTGTGCATAATGTATGTTGAGAATAAAGAATATCTTTGCATCGTTGTTTGTAAAAATTCAAATAGCCTAATTTATTTTAAAATGAAAACATGTAGACCTATACTGACATTAAATAAAGTTAGTTATTCTTCAGTGGAATATGGCATAACAATGAGAAGGTAGGCCTATCATTTTAAGTAACATAAACATGTACAAAGGTAGCCTAATATAAAAAAAAAACAGAAAGAAATACCATACTTTGAAGTAAAGAATTATCAAACAGAAATGACCCAATAAACTACCTATAATGAGGTCAAAAAGTGGTTAACAATTAAATAATTCCAAGCAGGTATTAGCCTACCAATAGAATACTTACTTACTTGTATACTTGTGTTGATCCCACTAGTAGCTTTCCAGCCGTGGTCGTCAAAGTTTTTTAATTTTTAGGTAGGGCCTATCTTCTCTTAATCCTCCCAAAATTCTTCCAACTTGTAGTAGGCCTTTTCTATTAAATAATTTTTGAGTTTTTTCTTGAACACATTTTTGTTGTGGCAGCTTCTTATTTCTTCTGGCAATTTATTAAATATCTTACTTGCAGTATGATGTGGTCCAGCTATTACCAATGATGTTCGGTGACAATTCAGGTGTATATGGTTTTGTTGCCTGGTATTGTAATTGGAATAAACCCACTAAAATATTCAAAATACTGGCAGCCGAAATCGGACACAGCATGCAACTTTAACTCACTCCACTCCACTCAGGGGGAATCAATTAACTAGGCCTAAACTTAATATATTGTAACAATGAAAAGTATTTAATTGAGCCTAGCCTATTTGTCTATTTAAAAGGGATGCTAGCAGTTTGTTTTTGTTTGAACAATATTAGTTCAGTTGAAAATATGTGCAAAGGCTCCTGGCACAGTTTAGCTCATCTCTGGAACTGTCTGCACGAATGATGGCAACTCAAGACTGGCCAATCGATAACAAAAATTGGAGTGAGGATTTATTTTTTGACGAGTTTTACACAACATTTTAATATATGGATTAATATATAGATTTTTGATAGTGTGTGAATAAGGAGTTTTATTTTTTAAGTGCACAATTCATTACCTTCAGAGCCGTCCGAAGGGGGGGGCAACCGGGGCAAGTTTCCCCGGGCGCCGCGGCTGAGGGGGCGCCGTGCAACGGCTATTGGTATTAACCCGAAATTTCGGGAAATTTTTGGGAAAAATCCCGATTATCAGGACATGATTATTGATTACATTTTATTCGGGATTATTTTGGGACGAGATTTGATCCGATCATCGGCGATTTTGCCGCTTCGCGAGTAACGATGACGCCGCTATCGCGAGTGATGTTCACGGTAATTCCACTAACGCAGGAGGCGAAGTCATTTCGACGATCGCACCGTGACCGCAAGTCATTTGGACGATCGCGCCGTGATCGCGGAGTCATACCGACGATCGCATCGTGACCGCGGAGTCATACAGACAATCGCGCCGTGACCGCTAGTCATATCGACGATTCCACCGTGACCGCGAGTCATACCGACGATTCCGCCGAGACCGAGAGTCATACCGACGATAACGCCGTGACCGCTAGTCATATCGACGATTCCACCGTGACCGCAAGTCATTTGGACGATCGCGCCGTGATCGCGGAGTCATACCGACGATCGCATCGTGACCGCGGAGTCATACAGACAATCGCGCCGTGACCGCTAGTCATATCGACGATTCCACCGTGACCGCGAGTCATACCGACGATTCCGCCGAGACCGAGAGTCATACCGACGATAACGCCGTGACCGCTAGTCAATCCGACGATTCCGCCGTGACCGCGAGTCATACCGACGATTCCGCCGTGACCGCGAGTCATACCAACGATAACGCCGTGACCGCGAGTCATACCGACGATCACGCTGTGACCGCGAGACATTTCGACCGCGAGTCACAAGTTTCTATAGGCCTAAAAATTAATTTTGTTTGTCTTTTTTGGTAACTGCAATACTCAAGACTGTCGTTTATGCACAGGAAAAAATCCCACCCCGAACTAAAAATTCAATCCTGTCCATCCCGTATTAACATAGTATTAAAACGTATTAACATAGTATTAAAATGGGGGGGGGGGGGGGGGCACCACGACCACATTTGTCCCGGGCGCCGCTAACCCCAGGGACGGCCCTGATTACCTTATTGACTTTATTTTTTCCAAAATGTTTATAAAAACCTATTGTATTTGTATGGTTTATTTCCCCAAAAATAATGTCTGGGAAACAAAAGTAGCCAGTTAATATTTTAAGTTAATACTTTTAGTGGGTTACTAAAAGTTTATCGACATACAGCAGGTCTATAGAATAATTCTTATTCTCTAAAGCGTTCTCTTCCCGTTGCGAAGCACGGGTATGGTGGCTAGGTTTTTTTTTTCATAAAAACAGTTCACTTTACTTAAACTAAATACTATTAAGATTTTTATCCTGCAATTAATGTAGAAAAAACAATGCACGTTTAACATAAAATTATAATTGTACAAAGGTAGGGAAGCGAGAATCCCATTTGTGTCCTCGCGAAGATGTCACAAGGAAAAGAGGGATGTTAGCCAGCCCCGTTTATTACATAGCCCTGTGTGTTAATTGTCCAGGTAACCTGATACTGGTGACTTCTCCTGGTGGCAACCAAGACAAGGTTTGGTGTCTGAGTGGGGACATATTCCCTCTGCAGCGCACGTTGAGTGAGACACAGAGTGTAGCTCGGCTGGATGGTGTTGCCTGGGCTCTTCAAGAGATGTCTTCTCCCTCTACCTCACCTGATAGCGTTCAATCTCTTCCCCCTCTCATTGTCAGACAGCACTATGAACCTGCAAAGAAGTTTGTCGTCCTTACGCCCAACGTAAGTCTATGCTAAAATATATTCATTATTCACAGGTATACAACCTACAGTACGTTAATAGCAACAGAAATATTGTTTATACATGCTATATAAAAACAATCAGAACTGGGTTGTCCACCAGGCCACTCTAATCCATGGCTGAGGGCGTGCAAAGGGGCATTAATTGATAGTTTTTTATTGAGAGAAGTAGAGATGGGCATGATGAAGTTTTGAATACAAAATTACTGAATCCAAACTGTTAACATCAACAATTTCAGAACATTGTGATCATCTTCTGTTGTGGCAACATATGTCAGTACCTAGCAATCGTGGTAGGGATAGAAGAGTCTCGAAATTTTTGGGAAATTTAAAATCTTATTCTACGAGACAAGATTTGATTTTGATTGAGATAAAAAAAAACGTTGAAAAACGCCTGCAGAAAGTCAATGCAATACCCACAATACACGAGCACGTTGTTGTTGTGTTTCCTTTGTGAAGGCGTTCTTATTTAACTAGGTAGCGGCCTCAGGTCCGCGAATTGAGCGGAGTTAGCAAGTATCGATATAATCAATAACCTTCTTTAAAAATACAATTTGTTGTTTCCAAATATGGATTACAACATAAAAACAAGCGTGAATTTTATTGATCAATACAAACCTCATTATTCAAGCCTATCGTTATATTCAATTTTCTTGAGTCTTTTAATCTCTTTTCTCCTTGGCTTGCCATTGGCTGCTCTCTTATTTATGCTTTCGACTCTCTATAGAATATGCTCGATCAGCAAGCCCTCGATGGTTTAACTCTTAATGCTTCATAAGTCAAGCCGTGAGAAGTCAAGCCGTGAGAAATATCTGACTTTCCTAGGTCCACCACAGTACATCTACAGTACATTCTTGGCTGCGATGTACAAATCGCATAGGCATGATTTAGTGGAAATTGCCATCGAGAACATTAAACACAATTCAGTTTAAAGGAAGCAGTTACTGGGGGTAAGGCAACAACCCGTTGTACAATGTAGGTCAAATATATTTTTCAAATTGTAATATAATGCCAATTGGGAAATCTTCTAGGTAATCTTATGTTTCGGTAAATTTGTATATAAAGTGTCTGCTACAGTACCAATGCTACCATTACAAAGGCCTGCAGAAGTCCAAAGATTACTCCGAAGTATCATAAGACAACCTTTTGAAATGAAGAGGTGTTTGTTAAGGCCTTGGCAGTCATCTGAAAACAATTATTTAAGAAATTTCAAATTCACAATAAACTTCAGTTACTTTGAGTTTTATTTACTTGTCATTATGTTATGTTACTAAATAAATATTAGGCCTACGTTTAAAAAATACTCACAAGAACAAAAAAGATGCACTAAAAATAGATCCAGCTAATAGGATACGCACGTACAAGAACAAGCAAAGTAAACGCATCCCATAACTTTAATTTGTTTACCCAACCCGCCATGTTAAACTTCCCTATCCCAAGCGTGATGTAAACAAACTTCTTTACTTCACCCGGTGAAGTAAAGTTTCAAAAACTCACTCGGTGAAGTAATGAAACCCATTCAAATAACATTGAGGGCTCAACTTAATAAAATATACCTCTATGGAGCCAACGCTAGAAATCAGACGTGCGCTTGAATGTTATTGTTATGCTTTAAATTATTTTCCTAACCTAGCTTTTTTTTAAAGAATATTACTGTTAGAAGATGCGTGAAATGGATAATGAAAAATACTGTACGTGACCCCCTGTATATTGTCGGGTTAGGTAAAATCTTTTACGTTACACGTTACGCAATAGCGTGCCTACATCACTTAATGTACATCACCTTTGACCAAGACTATCCCAAAACCTATGAAAGTTATATAACAAACATTGGTAAAGTTAAAAACTTGTTAAATGGCACGGACTTGTATAATTTTAAAAATTTTTTAAATAGGAACATTAACTTAACATTAACCTACATTAAGAAATAATCTACAGATAAAAAATAATAATTTTTTTAATGATGTAGCCCCACATTGACCACTTCCAACAAAACGTATCAAATATACAATATAATCTCACTAACCTCAACGTAATAGCTAGCCTTTCTTTAGAAGTGATGCAGTTCCTCAGTTTAGTATTTCGGTAAGCAATTGAAGCTTTTATTTTCTGGTGTAATTCATCAAAGGACGCAGCAGACATTCTGAAGTATTTGAAAAACTTGTTATCATCACGCCGAAGTTCATCAAAAAGAGTTTGAAATGATCCTGTGTTCCCTACTTTCATTAATAGGGTGAATCCAATACTTCCGCTTAATCCTACGACGCTTAATTCTGCGCCATAGCAGCCACAAAGCAACAACAAATATAGGATTCATTGTTTGATACAAAAACCACTGTTAAGATATTGCGCAACACACTCACTCCTCCACGGCTACCGAGCAACTGGTCATTTATCCGATAAAGTGTCGTATAGTGGGCGAGGACCACACATGCGATAAGAATATCATACATCACTTAGGTGAAAAATGCAATTCGCTTCCGCTCGTTGCACAACATTCACCTGCGTGATGTAAAAAAACTCTTACTACACTTGTAACGTAAATAGCAATAACATGATTCAAATTCAAATTGAACACATTCACACAACAATCCGATTGAATTATCTATCGTGCTTGGTTGGAGGAGTTGAAGGAAAAATGAATCCAGTCATCTGATTCTATTAAGTAATGGATTTTTACTTTTATATTTAAAACCACATGTTTGAAATATCATAAAGATAAACATTTGTTCCCAATCTAATAAGTTTAAAACATTGCAGTTTATTTAAGTAAGTTAGTTTGTTTAGCTCACATTTATGTTTACCTTTTTTTCAAACTAAAAAAATATGCAATTAGTGGACTTTGGTCAGTGAACAGGAAATCAATAGATCATCATATCATTGACTTATTGACTATGTATACTACACATTCAGTTGCCACCAAAGGAGGTAAAAGGCGTGGCTAATTTCACGAGCTGCTGTTACCTGAGAAAGATAGCGGAATTGCCGCGATGCTATGGCCCCTCGCCCACTATACGATTTCGGTCGTACGACACTGTGTCGGAACGACAACATTTTAACAGTGAACCATTGGATCTTATGAGAGCTCGCCCACTGTACGATAATCTCACAACTACGACAAACTGTCGTGAAGCAGTCATCCACTGCCACTGTGATCCACGACTGTCGTACGACTGTCCAACTCGCAGTGGCGTGTATGATCAAATGGGTGCTCGCCCACTATACGATTTTTTGTCAGATTTCGTGTGTTCTCCCCAAGTCCTCCTAGTCCTAGTTCGCGCTGAGCCTTCTCGCTGTTCACTTCGCATGCGTTCGTTTTTACTTCTGAGTGATAGTGACAAATAGTATTAATATTTAAAAACAATACAAAACCTGTTTGAACGTACAAACCTTTGACCAAGACTATCCCAAAACCTATGAAAGTTATATAACAAACATTGGTAAAGTTAAAAACTTGTTAAATGGCACGGACTTGTATAATTTTAAAATGTCTTTAAATAGGAACATTAACTTAACATTAACCTACATTAACTTAAGAAATAATCTACAGATAAAAAATAATAATTTTTTTAATGATGTAGCCCCACATTGACCACTTCCAACAAAACGTATCAAATATACAATATAATCTCACTAACCTCAACGTAATAGCTAGCCTTTCTTTAGAAGTGATGCAGTTCCTCAGTTTAGTATTTCGGTAAGCAATTGAAGCTTTTATTTTCTGGTGTAATTCATCAAAGGACGCAGCAGACATTCTGAAGTATTTGAAAAACTTGTTATCATCACGCCGAAGTTCATCAAAAAGAGTTTGAAATGATCCTGTGTTCCCTACTTTCATTAATAGGGTGAATCCAATACTTCCGCTTAATCCTACGACGCTTAATTCTGCGCCATAGCAGCCACATAGCAACAACAAATATAGGATTCATTGTTTGATACAAAAACCACTGTTAAGATATTGTGCAACACACTCACTCCTCCACGGCTACCGAGCAACTGGTCATTTATCCGATAAAGTGTCGTATAGTGGGCGAGGACCACACATGCGATAAGAATATCATACGACACTGTCGTACGACCGAAACCGTATAGTGGGCGAGAGGCCTATTGGTGACGTTTGCGCTAGCCCCGCCCTGGCTGTTGCCAGAATAGGCCTACTCATTAAACAGATTAGATTTGAACGACGTTACTGTATAGAGAGAGCATTAATGATTTAAACAATAATAAATTTATTGCACATGATAATTTACTGCAAGAGTAAATAAAATACATGCAGAATAAACAACAAAAGTAACGGTATTAAAATACAATTATAAAAGACGTTTCTGTATTAGGCTATGGCATTTAATCTGCGTTGTTGAGCCTGCACTGTGTTTATGAAAAACCTGTTGGATTGTAGTAAATTTCCAAACTGACATCACAATGCCAACATGCTTAATCTGTTGGCTGAAAATTATTCTTATTACGGGGAAAAGGAGGAATATCGATTATCATATCACGCTTAAATATAACTGTACTCCAAGCAGTCTATGTAGGCTAATTAATTAATGGCCTACTTTTAGCAATCGTAACTGTATCTCTTTACAGAAAATTATTTACACATTTAAGCTAAAAGTTGAGTTCTATAAAAGCTTAGTTAAATATTTACTTAAATAGTTGTAACTGAACTTCTGTACAGGCCTAGCAGTCTAGGCTATTTAAGCCTACGTATCGTAATCGTAACTGCACAAGCGTAGCAAATTATTTACACACCTTAGTTGAAAGTGTACTTGTATAAAAGCATAGGTATTTATTTACTTCTGGACTTCTGTTCAGGCCTTGCAAATCACTGTATTTATATAGCATGATAGGCTACTGTTATCAATTAGTATTTGAAAATACTGAATACCCGTTTCGGAAATGCAGTTTCTATTATTTTCAATAATGAAGACTTTCTTTTGATGTTTATAAAGCAATATTTACTACAAAACTAATAGAAATTAGTAATGCGAATCAGTGTACAGTATTATAAATCAATGCTTAATGGTATTCATCGGACGGACTGCACTTTTCTTTTGAACTGTCTTTTGTAATTTGCTAGCATGCGCATTTGGAGGTGCCCGTGGGTACAGAATGTCAAGTCTCATACACTACGATTCTTTGTTTACACCTACGTTGTTTTCTTGTAACCATCATAGCAACCCATAAGGCTAATGTTAAAAATCAAAAATTTTATGTTGGTCTTAAAGTGTACAGACATTATCAAATTTAAATTTGTTTGTTTCCAAACTTGAAAAATGTTTGTTAAAATAACCCTGGAAAGTATGGGTTCAGTACGTTCAGCCGTTATTGAGTTAATTGATTACATAGTTTGCATAAGGTCCGATCTCAAAGAGCTTCGCTCAATTAATTCTTTACATGTAAATATGGGTGAGGTTCATTTGTCCGAGTTTTCAACTGTCCAAGTTTGTTAAAAATTACAAAATATTTGAAAAATCAGTTGTCCGAGTTTTCATTTGTCCGAGTTTTGATAAATAACTAATAATAATTAGATAAATCAACTGTCCAAGTTTTCATTTGTCCGAGTTTATAAAATTATTTAAAGCGTTTACCTTCCCCGTAGCAGCAAACCTAAGCACTCGCTTATTTATGGAAATATTTTAGGAAATATGCAATCAGACAAGTTGAAATTCGCTTCGTCTGCAGGTTTGCTGCGGCAGGGGTATTTTATATTATCAGCAAATTTGATTGGTTGTGTTAGGTGATGACAGTTTAGTTTTATAATTAAAAATTGTAAAATTAGTCTTATAATAAAAATAATATAATTTTTCTTAAGTCGACGTGAGGGGCTCTCGCGGCTCGCACAATGCCCGACTCCTTCGCAGAAGAGGTTTACATCGGCTTCTGACCAGGCGCCTTAGACACGCTAGTCTCGGCGCGCAGTGTCACATTTGATGTTGACCCTACTCGGACAGTTGATATTTCGATATTTTTTTAATAATTTAAAAACTCGTACAAATGAAAACTTGGACAGTTGATTTAACCAAATATTATTATTATTCAAACCATACTCGGACAGATGAAAACTCGGACACTTGATATTTCGATATTTTTAAAAATAATTTTATAAACTCGGACAAATGAAAACTCGGACAACTGATTTTTCAAATATTTTGTAATTTTTAACAAACTCGGTCAGTTGAAAACTCGGACAAATGATGTGATCCCGTAAATATTGCTTTAATTGTTTTATAATTTTTTTTACATCGAAAATGATGAGAAGTTTTGTTTAGTGTAAGCAGTGTGAGACATGTTTTACTACGGTACTGTAAACATAGCCAAAACAAATCACTCCAAAATCATTCTAAAATAACACAAGACTGAAATGTTGTTACGTACTTAACTAGTAAGAGTCTTACTAGAATTTTCACTTTCGTTTACTAAGACTAAAAATTTTATACTGATAAATTTAGTTTTTTCAAAGTTCTACAATTGTAATTTAATACTTGACTAGTATGACTGATGTTTCAGACTAAACAATTTTGTATTAATCAAAGTTGAACTATATCCTCACTTTAATACTTAATTCACCTAACTGATATCAGCGAGACGTAGGAATTGGCTAACTCAGGAGCTCGCTAACTCGGTCGTGTGTCGGAACTGGCTAACTCTGGAACTGGCTAAACGTCTCAGTCAGGAATTGGCTAACTCCGGAACCCGCTAACTCGATTTTGTCTCGCGGCGGAATTCGCTAACTCTGGAAGTTGCTAACCCGGCCGCGCCCACTGCATGGAGCGTTGCCAACCTTGCACGACAAAATAATCGTACATTACCGTATTTCAAAATATCAGTGTCAATGAAGATACAGTAAATGTAATTGTTTTTGTTATCAATTTCACTTTTAACAGATAACTAGCCCAAAGTAATTCAAAGACAATTATTAAAAAATCATGAAAAGTGTTTTTTATTTAACTCTACAATGGCCAGTTAAATGTTTATGATTTCGATCTTAAATATAAATGCCATAAGTATAAAAGAAAATAATAGCGTTGAAAAATATTGAAAAGGTACTAAATAATTAAACCTCTACGAAATTAAGCTAAAAATACACACTAGTTTTCAAACATGGAAAACAAATTTAATCGTAATGTCATCAAACATCAACCATCAGTCATCAACCGTCGTAACTTTCATAACTAATTCATAGATTTAAAATTGAATGTTCGTCGTTGAATCGTCCAACTTACGTGTAAAAATATGACATTAGACTAAGCTTTTATCTAGGCCTAATAGTTTAAGCCAAAGCATTGTAGGCCTACTAGTAAATAGTTGCCTAATTCTAAAATGTGTTGAATTTTTTAGTAATAATGTTACATGTTTTAAAACAGTTTTTAGATTGTACACCTAAGCACCACTAGTAAATAATAGGAGAAGATAATATAATACTCATATAATAAAACGTGACAGGGTAATTTTAATTCACGATTCTTAATCAACGAATTGACGGATTTTCTTAGTTGGGTTTCGTTTACATTGGTTTCACAATCGAAATAAACTATACCAAACCATTGCTCGGTTCACCGTTCCCAGGTACTGAGCTACTCAATAGACAATAGCTTTGTTTTTTTATAAGATCAAGTAATTTTAGGTATGGCCACCATTCATAAGAATTGTAACAAACAAGAACACCTGGGTCGATTTAGAACCAGCCTGGAGAAAATCTCCAGACTTTTAAAAAGTAGGCCTACTGAAAGACGTAAAATTAATATAAATTAAACAAAATTAATTAGCCTACGATAAAAGAAATTTACAAGTTGTATTTATGCATAGACTAATTTTTAATACAATCTATGAATAAATTAGGCCTACAACTTTATAATATTGTATTGATAAATATGTATTTAAATTCAATAGCTATATTTAAAAATACATTACCACTACAATGTATTTCTGGACTGACGTTTAACGTGTAAATTTTATCATGATTTATGATTCAATTTTATGATTCAAGGTTACAAGCCTAGTATATAAAATACAAACTCAATAATTTATTTGCAGAAGTTCAAAAAATGGTATTTATTCGAATAAAAGAAACAAATGGCGAACTACGAAAATAGATATTTCATAACATGTAAAAGATCCAAATTAAATGTACATTTTTATCTTTTTGCATACCATTAAGCTACTATTTAAGTAAGAAGCCCAAATATACAACATACTCCCTTATATTAGTATATTTCTAATCCTTATGGATCAGCTGAAAACAGTTTTATTGTTAGTTCTGTCCGGTGCACTGTCTTTAGAGGTCGTGTTTTGTTTACAATTGTTTCTTGTTTCCAGTAATTTAAAACCTCGTTTAACCAAATAAAACGTTCTAATAACAACTAATAACACGTCCCCTAGTTATATAACCAAACAGTAAAGAGCAAATTATGAAATTAACTATAGAAATAATAGAAACACAATTTTGTCGACACTAGCGATCAGTGTCACCGGATATGAACTAGACTTGAAAGTTTACAATGGGATATAAAGTTTACTTGTGTTGGTTAGTCTATGGTAAGACTATAATGCATTTTCCACCCTAATAATCATGAGAATAATGTTAAACATACTTCTCAATATATTTATTTGATCAACTACGTTGCTCTTACTCCTAATTAATCGTAGGATACGACATTATGGTACCGATACTATATAGGTACTACACTTTCGGTAACACTGGCCAAAAATATTCGTGCTTGGCTCCCATTGGACGGCCCGCGAGGCTTCTGATTGGGAGTTAGCGAGTTCCGCCGAGGGACCGAGTTAGCGACTTCCGTACGAGGACGGAATTCCGTACGAGGAAGTTCCGGAGTTAGCCAATTCCGAAACCGAACAAGTTAGCGAGTTCCTCTCATCGACCAAATTTGAAGATAGGGCTTTTAACATGGGGTTAGCGAGTTCCAGCTAGTTAGCCAATTCCGCAGACCCATATCAGCATATCGTTTCCTATGCAAAATAGTTATTTTTAATAAGGTGGTCGGTCGTAAATAATATTTGTTTTCTTATATGTACTGATGTTTTTTATTAAAAGATTTTAAATGTTCTTGCCTATTATTACTATTTTTGTATTTTACCAGCCATCTGTCATAAATCAGTAGTAGTCTAGTCAATGATCCAAAAGTGGGTGTAGAGTGTGTGAGCAGGTAACTAAATGATTCCTTCAGAGACTTGTTCAGGGGGTTTAGGGTGTTAACATACCAAAAGTCCTGACTCCTAGGTGGTGAGCCAGGGGTGGAGGGGGAAAGGGGGGGGGTAATCGTACGCATTTTAGGTTTTGTGATTATATCTCGAAAACTATCAACTTTTTGTATGCTATACTAAATTATAAAATTACGGAATTTGTGTTCCAATGCGCGAAATCTACGCTCCGCAGCAAGCTTAGAAGCTCCAAGAGGAGGGTGAGCCTGTTTGAATGGAAGACTGATTTGTGAAAGTGCAATGTACCCAGCCTGTCCGTTATTTTATGTAGAACTTCATTGTGAGCCTACTGAAGAAACTCTTTGAATACCTTTTTATTTATTTAACTCCAGCTGACTTCCCTAGTCTCTTTCTTCCATCTACAAAGAGTACAGAGACCAACTAATTGCTGTGTAGGGTGGTGTAAAATCTTTTTCCCAAACCTTTATTACTTTGTCTTTATACCAATATGTCAAAACCCACACTACTGAATTAGTTAAACCCTTACCTATTGATATTAGCCTAAACCAATATTTTTACAATTACAGGGTGCTGAAATAATGAAGTGTCTGCGGCCGGTGGACGTGCTGAGTCAGCTACTACAGCAGAGTCATGGAGCTGAGAGTGATGCTGTCAAGTCATACTTTCACTCTCAGACGGAGGACCAGGCCTGTGCTACATGTCTGTTGCTGGCATGTGACCAGAGTGTGCACAACACCAAGGTACAAAACATAATCATATGCATTATAAACTAAAGCGATTTTATTTATTTTGATAATTTTCATAGTTATAACAGTAGAAAAGCACAAGATATGGGTCCACTATTTAATATATTGCAGAACACAATAAAAATGGGAAAACATGTCTTTTTTTTTATTTAGCTGCTTCCAGTACTATTACTCAAATCTAAATTTGGAAAAACAAGATTTCTTGTAGTCAAGTCATTTTCCCGCCCCTCCTCAGTGACGTAGCGCTGTTACATCGGCTCGTGACGCAAAGGCAGGCCGGCACGGCGGTGCATATGTCACCCAAAAACTACACGTATCTTAATAATTGTGTTTGAATACTGTAATATATCATCGTGTCTTTTAATTAATATGAAATATTATTTCATTAGATATAGTTTTTTAGTTTTATAATGGGATTTTTAAAGCGGGTTTTGTTAATATGCTAAGCTGTAGTGTAGCTACAGTAGATGTAAAAACGACTCATGAAAGACTGAAAATGTTATTTACCACGTTTTTTCTTGTGAGAAATACGTCACTAAGGGCTGCTTGGCTTGTGAAGTGCAAATGAGCCGTTGACTTTTAGTTTTTAGTATATTTTTTCTAACACCAAAACCTTTTGTAGATTATTCATTCTTAAATATAACACAAGTATGATATGTAAGTACAACAAAAACATTTACATGATGGATAGCCTCTGGATCATTAAAATTAGCAGAATATGGTTTATGTTACCTTGCCTAAAATGATCCTGTATAGTTGTCAAACACGACAGCTGTTTCAAGCTACAATGAGCACATCTTCAAAGTGAAGAAACACAAAATCAACTCATTTAACCCGCGGTTGAGCACGTCAAAAAACACATAAAGTACATGAAGTTCACACAAAAACACATATTACAAACACTAGGTCAAGTACCGCGAACACGCGACGCGGCGCCGGTAATGTGTAGGTCATGACTGGTACGTGGTCACGGTGGTATTGGAGACATTCACTTCCCTCCCCATCACCTGTTGTTTATCAGGACCCTTGCGCTGATTGGTCGAGTTCATGATGCGGATGGCGGTGTTATAAATAATATTTGATTTGAATGATAGCTGCTCATTTAAGATATGGTCAGGATGTTCTCTAGCTGCTCTATAGATTTCAAATTCTTCTATTGTATCCATGCGCCTCTTGTTGTTGCAAAAATGCATGACTTCCAAATTTGTTTCTTTGTCAGTGTAGTTATGTTTGTGGTTAATGAGATGGTCGGCGAAAGCGGATTTGTTGTTTCTTTTTGGTAAATGTTCTTTAAATCTGGTTTTGAATGAACGAGCAGTTTGCTCGATATAAAAACGTGGGCAGTTGTCACATTTGATTTTATAAATTCCTGTACCATTCACTTTACTACGGGTACGGGGATTGTTCTTGGTCTGTTGTAGGATGTTGGAAAGTTTATTGGAAGTTTTGTAGGCTATCGTAATATTATTTCGGGCCATCTGTTTAGTTAGGGTATTATTTAGGACTGTGCCAAATTCAGCGCTGACATATTGTTTGTTATCTGTTGCGTTGCCTTGTCTGGTCTTGTTGTTATGCTTCCTTATCAATTTGCCAATTAACGAGCTGTTGTAACCATTGGCTACTGCTATGTGTTTTAAGGTGTCGACTTCATTTCTATAGTTTTCATTACTCAACGGTATGGATAATAGTCTGTGAACGTAACTGTTGAAAGCTGCTGTTTTGTGGTTATGAGGGTGGTGTGTTAGAGGGCAGCCCATGGTTAGTCCTTCGTTCAGTTTGTAAAATTGGCCATTGAATGTGAAGTAATTTTTATTTAAGATGCATTCTGTTAATTTGATTAGTTCTCTTTTAGCAACTGTTGACAAAGAAGAATTTTTATGTAAGTTAGTTTCTAGTATGTGGATTGTTTCTCTAACAGGCAAGTTGGTGTATAAATTAACGACATCGAAGGACGCGAGCATGTATGATCCTTTTAATTCAATGTTTGTTAATATGTTAACTAAGTCTACAGTGTTTTTTATGCTATAATCATTTTCAAGAACTATTTCTCTCCGTCTTAAGAGGATTACCAAAGATTCATAAACCTAATGTACCAATAAGGCCCCTTGTCAATTTTAGGACATCCCCTGCATACAAGATCTCGCAAAAACTAGATAAAATAATCAGGAGAGAAATAGTTCTTGAAAATGATTATAGCATATTCTAGGATGTTCATATGATTATTGCGACTAGAACATTTAAGGTTAGGAAAAATGGCTGTCAGTAGGTCACGTGACCACATTACTGTGCTCTGAGCGGCCAGTAAACTCAAACTATTTTCTCTTTACTGGCGGCCAGTAGCTACTGGCCGTTGAAGCGTCCAGTACCTCATCACACGTAGACAGTAGGCGGACAATTACTGGCCGCCATTAATGGCTAGGTCTACTGGACGCCACTACTTTCCCCGTCTGCAGGGGGCTATAGAAACAAATTTGGAAGTCATGCATTTTTGCAACAACAAAAGGCGCATGGATACAATAGAAGAATTTGAAATCTATAGAGCAGCCAGAGAACATCCTGACCATATCTTGAATGAGCAGCTGCCATTCAAATAGAATATTATTTATAACACCGCCATCCGCATCATGAACTTGACCAATCAGCGCAAGGGTCCTGATAAACAACAAGTGTTTGTAATATGTGTTTTTGTGTGAACTTCATGTACTTTATGTGTTTTTTGACGTGCTCAACCTTAGGCTAAATGAGTTGATTTTGTGTTTCTTCACTTTGAAGATGTGCTCATTGTAGCACGAAACAGCTGTCGTGTTTGACAACTATACAGGATCATTTTAGGCAAGGTAACATAAACCATATTCTGCTAAAAACATTTAAAACAAAGGTCAATTACATTTTTTTGACCGAGTAAAGAAAACATATTCAGGATTAGAGTAAGGCATTTAAACAGCAAAAAACGTTGACCGAGAAAAGAAAACATATTCAGAAGAATCAAAAGTGGGTTAAATCCCATAAGTGAATAATGTAATAGCAAACCACTGTACTTTTTTAGCGTAGATTTTGATTTTTAAGTTTTGGAAATTTATATAGGCCTAATTTACTTTATTTGAATGTATTGAAATTTTTGTAATAAAACTAAATAGATAAATTGAAATTATTTTCCTTCTTGCATATTTCCAAAAATTACAAAATACACATTAGTATTTTGAAACAACCTCAATGTATTTTATACAGGGTTAGTAAAAAGTGTGGAGACCCCCTGTTATTTTTTTAACGGCCCATACTAGAAAAACTACACTCGGCACACAATTATGGCATGTTATGAAGTACTTTTTGGGCATAACCACCACTTGGTGTTCATCCCCAAAATGGGGGATTTTGGGGGAAACTAAAAAATTTCAAATACAAAGACCCATCGAGTGACCCCTCATTTTGAAGGTCCTGGTAAAAGAAAACCAACAACGCAAACTAGAGGTCTCTATCTCAGTTCAGTACAAAATGGCAGCCGATTGAAATTCTCATAAGTTCCCAAACCCAAAATGGGGGATTTTAAAGGAAACTCAAAATTTTTTAATGATAAGCCCCATTGAGTGACCCCTCATTTTGAAGGTCATAATAAAAGAAAACTAACAACACAAATTATAGGTCTCTATCTTAACACAGTAAAATATGGCAGCCAGTTCAATATAAAATTGCAAGTTATTTCCGATTTTAAAGATTTCAATCACCTTCCATTTTTTACTGAATTGAGATAGAAACCTCTAGTTTGCGTTGTTAGTTTTCTTTTACCAGGGCCTTCAAAATGAGGGGTCACTTGATGGGGCTTATCATTAAAAACTTTTGAGTTTCCCCCAAAATCCCCCATTTTGGGTTTGGTAAGCAAGTGGCTATTAGGCTTAAAAAGTACTTCATAACATGCCAAAAAGGTGTGTAGAGTTTAGTTTTCCTAGTGTGAGCCGCTACAAAATTTACAGGGGGTCTCCAGACTTGGAAAGCTGCAAGTTAAATTCAACTTCTGAGAATTTCAATTGGCTGCCATTTTTTACTGGATTGAGATAAAGACCTCTAGTTTGCGTTTTTGGTTTTCTTTTACCTGGACCTTCAAAATGAGGGGTCACTCGATAGGTCTTTGTATTTGAAATCTTTTAGTTTCCCCCAAAATCCCCCATTTTGGGGATGTACACCAAGTGACGGTTATGCCCAAAAAGTACTTCATAACATGCCATAAAGGTGTGCCGAGTTTAGTTTTTCTAGTATGGGCCGTTAAAAAAATAACAGGGGGTCTCCACACTTTTTACTAACCCTGTATAACCTCAATGAATTCTAAAAGTTTGAATAAATAATATTAATAGTCCATACATTAAGATACATTCGAGCAATACAAATACAGATATTACACAGTAACTTAATGTATATGATCAATAAATACAGTATTCTTAGCCATTGCTTTACATTCCACTCCCATCATTAAATATCTACTAAAGTTACTTTCTATATTTATTAAAATTTGGGTTAACGTAACCCTATTTGAAAATCAATTACTTTTATAAAATACAGTAATACCTAATAAAAAATGTGCAACAAGTGAATAATGTTATAGTAAACCGCTGTATTTTTTGAGCGTAGATTTTGTTTGAAGTTTTGGAAATTTTAATAATTTACTTTATTTGAATGTATTCAAATATTTATAATAAAATTTAATAGATAAATTGAAATTATTTTCCTTTTTGCATATTTCCAAAAGTTACAAAATACACATTAGTATTTTGAGACAACCTCAATGTATTTTATATAGGGATGGACGGGATTGAATTTTTAGTTCGGGACGGGACGGGATTTTTATTTCCTTCCCGATTTTCGGGACGGGACGGGACGGGATTTTTATTTCCTTCCCGATTTTCGGGACGGGATTTTTTCTGTGCATAAAAAGAAAGTCTTGAGTATTGCAGTTACCAAAAAAAAGACATACAAAATCAATTTTTACCGTTTGTGGTACTGATCTATAAAAACCAAAGAATGGGTAACAATATACAGGTACCTATAGAAACTTGTGACTCACGGTCACGGTGCGATCGTCAAAATGACCGCGGTCACGGGGTGATCGTCGGTATGACTCGCGGTCACGGGATGATCGTCGGTATGACTCGCGGTCACGGGATGATCGTCGGTATGACTCGCAGTCACGGGATGATCGTCGGTATGACTCGCGGTCACGGGATGATCGTCGGTATGACTCGCGGTCACGGCATGATCGTCAGTATGACTCACGGTCACGGCGCGATCGTCAGCATGACTCCGCGGTCACGACGTCGGTATGACTCGCGGTCACGGTGCGATCGTCGGTAGGACTCCACGGTCACGGCATGATCGTCGGCATGACTCCGCGGTCACGGCATGATCGTCGGCATGACTCCGCGGTCACGGCGCGATCGTCGGCATGACTCCGTGGTCACGGCGCGATCGTCGGCATGACTCTGCGGTCACGGCGCTTGTCGGTAGAACTCCGCGGTCACGGCGCGATCGTTGGTATGACTCGCGGTCACGGCATGATCGTCAGTATGACTCACGGTCACGGCGCGATCGTCAGCATGACTCCGCGGTCACGACGTCGGTATGACTCGCGGTCACGGTGCGATCGTCGGTAGGACTCCACGGTCACGGCATGATCGTCGGCATGACTCCGCGGTCACGGCATGATCGTCGGCATGACTCCGCGGTCACGGCGCGATCGTCGGCATGACTCCGTGGTCACGGCGCGATCGTCGGCATGACTCTGCGGTCACGGCGCTTGTCGGTAGAACTCCGCGGTCACGGCGCGATCGTTGGTATGACTCGCGGTCACGGTGCGATCGTCGGTCCAATAATCGCGGTCACGTTGCGATCTTCGTTATGACTCGCGGTCACGTTGCGATCGTCGGTCCAATAATCGCGGTCACGGTGCGATCGTCGGTAGGACTCCAGGGTCACGTCGTGATCGTCGGTATGACTCCACGGTCACGGGGTGATCGTCGGTATGACTCGCGGTCACGGGATGATCGTCGGTATGACTCGCGGTCACGGCATGATCGTCAGTATGACTCACGGTCACGGCGCGATCGTCAGCATGACTCCGCGGTCACGACGTCGGTATGACTCGCGGTCACGGTGCGATCGTCGGTAGGACTCCACGGTCACGGCATGATCGTCGGCATGACTCCGCGGTCACGGCGCGATCGTCGGCAAGACTCCGCGGTCACGGCGCGATCTTCGGCTTGACTCCGCGGTCACGGCGCTCGTCGGAAGAACTCCGCGGTCACGGCGCGATCGTCGGTATGACTCGCGGTCACGGTGCGAACGTCGGTCCAATAATCGCGGTCACGTTGCGATCTTCGTTATGACTCGCGGTCACGTTGCGATCGTCGGTCCAATAATCGCGGTCACGGTGCGATCGTCGGCAGGACTCCACGGTCACGTCGTGATCGTCGGTATGACTCCGCGGTCACGGGGTGATCGCCGGTATGAGTCGCGGTCACGGCGTGATCGTCGGCATGACTCCGCGGTCACGGCGTGATCGTCGGTATGACTCCGCGGTCACGGCGTGATCGTTGGTATGACTCCGCGGTCACGGCGCGATCGTCGGTAGTACTCCGCGGTCACGGCGTGATCGTCGGTAGGACACCGCGGTCACGGCACGATCGTCGAAATGACTTCGTCTCCTGCGTTCGCGGACCTATCGCTCGCAATAGCGGCGTCATCGGCACTCGCGAAGCGGCAAAATCGCCGACGATCGGACCAAATCCCGTCCCGAAAAATTCCCGAATCAAATGTAATCCCATCCCGATAATCGGGAATATTTTTTTCCCGAAATATTCCCGAAATTTCGGGACCCGTCCATCCCTAATTTTATATAACCTCAATGAATTCTAAAAGGCTGAATAAATAATAAATCAATAATATCAATAGTCCTTACATTAAGAGATACATTCGAGCAATAAAAATACAGTATTCTTAGCCATTGCTTTACATTCCACTCCCATCATTAAATATCTACTAAAGTTACTTTCTATATTTATTAAAATTTGGGTTAACATAACCCTATTTGAAAATCATCTATATATATAAAATCCAATGTATGTTTGTATATTTGTATATTTGTATGTTTGTATATTTGTATGTTACATAACCCTATTTGAAAATCAATTACTTTTATAAAATACAGTAATACCTATTGTCGGGATCACGTAAGTTTGCAGTTGAGGGAGGAGCCTATTTACCATATGGTTTTTATTTTTTGTCATATTGGATGTTGATTTGTAGCTTAGTGTTATGATTTTGATATTTCCAAGCTGACAAGTACATGGCACTCTTGTATACTGCATATTACTACAATATTTCTTGTGCTCTTTGGAATTGTCTATAACGATGTTGTGTTGACAAATGACAATAAAGAGATTCTGACTCTGGAAACAGAGAGATAAATTATACTTTGTGATAATAAGGTTAGTGTTGTTGCCTTTTATCAAGATGGGCCACAATGTAATGACAGTGATGGGGGTGGTTGATCATGATGGGCACAGTGTGTTGTCTACATCTTTTGGTTTAAAGTCTCTAACTTTTTCAAGTAGACTCGTTGAAATCCATCCCTTTTCAAAGAATGTCTTATTTTCATCCACACCATTTTTATCTTTAGATGTTTTTGTAAGGGAAAGTCCTAGCCTTTTCGGTACTTTGATAATTTTTAAGATACAAAAGATGCAATGGTATACAATAGGGGTCTGCAGGCCACTCTTGTTTACTTTGGTAGGGTTGGTTACATTTGTGTCTACATAAAGCCATAAAAATGTTGCATGCCTAAGATCTTTTTTTTATTTTCAACTAAAATTTTTAATTCAGTTGTTTCTTTCCTTTGTAATGCCAAAAAAACTGTGTGATTAGTTTTCTGACCATTTAAAAAAAGTTTATTTTCGTTTGTTGGTTTGTTCCAATATATTGTTATGTTAAATTTATTTACAGCTAGGAGAGTGGGCTACCCGTGCGTTCTTCCTCTATGGTGGTGAGCCCAAATTAGCCACAACACAACTCATGAGTCCTTCAAACTTCCAGTACTCCTTGCCTCCAGGTTGGTCCCAAATTCTGTTTGTTATACAGTTTATAACATTTTTAGTTAATTTACCAAAATTATTAAATAGCTAAAATGAGGAAGATTAATATTAATAAAATATCTATTTGTATATTTTATGTTTTAATTTAGATGTTCACGTAATAGGGCTGCTGATATATTAAATTATTGTAGTAAATAAGTACAACTGAGCACCCTGAATATTATATTTTTAAAAGAAGTGACATGTTTCGGACATAAGTCCATTTTCAAACTTCAAATATATTAAATACTTAACTGTTGTTTATATAAATAAACAAACAAACAAGATATACAGATGATTTATAGAATTAGACTGGATTTGGAAAAACATTTTTGTTACTGATTATTTAATTCTAAAATTTGGTCAAAGATTGGGTTTCTTGAAGGAATTTGGCTATTTAAAATATGATTTGGATTTTTTAGATTTTCTTCGCAGGCCTATATGAAATATTCTTCAGTTGAATCCATTTGATTTCCTTCGTTTAAAACTTTTAGAGTTTTCATGTTGTTTTTTAACACGTTCACTGCGTTGTATATTTTCCAGCATTATTCCAATGGTGCGTTACGAGATCTATAGGTCTCGTCGGCTATGATTACCCAGGTGCAATACGAGACCCCGAGATTACGTTGCGCAGTAATCTTTTGCGCATCATAACCTTGTAAAGAAAGGTGAGAGAGCGCTGAGTGTTTGTTTATCTGAACCAGTACAATGTTGACAATCTTCAGCCAGCCTAGGAAGTATATATGACGTCATTGTACGAGACCCCGAGATCTCGTACCGCACAGCTGTAATAGTTCATTATTTATTTGTATTTATTCTTTTCCTACAATAACAAATTAAGAAAAAATATATGTTATCTGTTTATTTACAAATTCCTTATAATCGTAACCGTTATAAAAAATAATATATTTTATCTTTCTTTTATCACTTTTTATAATAATGCGTTTCCTTACAGCTGATATCAGGCTAAATAAAATACAAATGAAATATGTTTACAAATTTCTGTATTTATTTCGTTATAATTTTGGGGTTGGGCTATGACCTCAAAATGAGTGCGTGCCAACAGTGAGTCGAGTGGGCGGGGGGAAGGGATGGGTGCAACCTTGAAGCTATATTTAGACTTGCACCACTTCCCTAAAGGGCTGGGAAAGGGATCCCAATTGCAAAACAAAAACCAATGATACAAAGTTGTTTATCGGAAATTGCTTGTCCGGTTTGACGATTATTTAGCATTGATTTTTTTATGATTTAGTAGGGACCAGGAGAAATATTCGAATTAATGTAAATGATTTGCTTATTTACATCAAAATACAACATTGCACAATCGTGATATTTTAGGTCATTTACCAGTGACCTTTAATACCATCCGTTAGTGCTGTTTTAGAAGAGAAACACGCCGATAGTTAAAAAAGATTTATGTTCCCGTAGTTGAAAACGATAAATATGTAAACCTGTAAAACATTAGATAACTCATAAAAATAACAGCATAAAAATGCCATTATTCTTTCTCTTTGTTCTTGAATTATTTCTTTGGTTTCCTTCTTTCATCCAAGCATTCAACAAAGGTTACTGTGGTTACTAATTAGCCTCATGTAGTGCTTGGAACAATTATTTTTGATACGAGACCCAGGGGTCTCGTATCGTAATAAAGTAAATGTTTATTACTTCAGTGCGTTACGAGATCTATTTATCTCGTTCATTTCATATTTACTAGTTGATACATCAAGAAAAATGCATTATATATGTACAAGTTTAATTTCTTTACGATAACTGTACGCCGAAATATCGATGTCGTAATTTTTGGAAAGAAGCCAAATTATGGGTCCCGCACTACGGGCTAGGTACGATACGAGACCTCGGGATCTCGTAGCGCAGTGAACGTGTTAAATTTGTGTAATTGTGGTTGGTCGATAAAAGGTGTTCAGCAAAGTTTGATTTCATGGATGTTCTGTTGTTACTACTGTTGTTAAGAGCTTGAATGTGCTCTTTGAATCTAGATTTAAAAGAGCGTCCTGTCTGACCAATGTAGAAGTGTTCACAATCAGTGCAGTTAATTTTGTATATGCCAGATTTGTCGTAGATGTCTTGATGTTCTTTATTTGTAGTAATGTTATTTGTTATCATATCGAAAGCGTTATTTTTTGTTTTAAAGCCAATTTTGTATTCAGAATTTTGAAAAGTTTTTCTTGTAGTCCTGTTAAGAGTTGTATTGAATGGGATACTAATGAATTTCTCTTTCTTCTTTCTTTCTTTGTTGTGTTCTTGATTTAGATTTTTCTTTCTTTTGATGTTTCTAATCATATTGTATATGATGTTTTGCTTATATCCATTCCTTGATGCTAAGTATTTAATTTTGTTTAATTCTATCTCGTAATTTTTCTTTGTCATTGGAATGTCCAAAAGATGATTTAGCATGGATCTGAGAGCAGATAGTTTGTATTTCCAAGAATGGTTAGAATTTGATGGTATCATTAGGTCTGATTGAGTTGGTTTTCTGTAAATTTTGAAATCGTGCTTGTTTATGTTTTTTGAAATAGTTAGGTCGAGATAGTTTATTTCATTATCGTTAATTTCTTGGGTAAATTTTATTTTCTTGGACAATGTGTTCAAATGCTTAATCTTTACTTTCCTCTTCATTTCCTTCAAAAAGGAAAATGACATCATCAACATATCTGTACCAATATTTGATTTTTGAGTGGTATGTATTTAAATCATTGTAATTTAGTTTTCTTCAAAATTATGTATGTAAATATCAGCTATCAAGCCATTATAAAGGGGACCCCATTGCCAAGCCTTCACTTTGTTGGAAGAATTTTTGATCAAATGTAAAATAATTTCGGTTTAGGCATGTTTCTGTCAGTTTTGTGATTTCTTTAATTTCTTGTTCGGAAAGGATGTTGCTCTTTTCTAAATCATGTTTGAATATCTTCAAAGTTTCTTTTGGGGGAATGTTGGTATACATGTCCTTGATATCAAAAGATATAAATTTTCAATGTGTTGGTATTTCTTAATTTTTTATTTTGTTTACAAGTTCAATGTTGTTTTTTACGGTGTAGTTTGTATCCCAATTAAGACTGTTTTTAATTTTATTATTTAAGTATCTACAAAGTTTGTATGTGGGTGCTGATCTAAAATTTACAATAGGTCTTATTGGTATATCAATTTTGTGTGTTTTAGGGAGTCCTTTCAACATTGGAGCTTTAGGATTTATTATCTTCAATTCTGATTTTTCTTGGTTTGAGAGATGTTTGCTTTGTGATATTACCTTGTTAGTAGCTTTTGAGAATTCTTGTGTTGGGTCTTTTGTTAGTAGGTAAAAATTGTTACTATCAATGAAAGTTTGTATCTTTTCTTTATAATCAGAATTTCTTATTATGACTGTTGTATTTCCTTTGTCTGCTTTAACTAAAGAGGAATCGTTATCTTTCTATTTTGTACAAATGGAATTAATTATTTTTATTTCTTTGTTTGTGTTATTGATTAATTTAGTATTTCTTACCTTTATGTTGTTTTTGTTCAATTAGTGGATAAAGTTGTTTTTTATCGGCGAGACATGCTTACCTAGATAATATATATAGATAACTTCCCTTACAGCTCCTTATTGATCTTAGCAAGTATTATAATGTACCGTTATTTGGGACAATCTGCTTAAGTCATATGTATTTTATTGCATAAAACATTCTTTCTCACAAAGGCAATGGTGAACAGATGCATAGTCAATCAATAGGTTATAAAAACTAAAAGTAAAAAGTTACAACAAAATACAACAAGAACAGCACAATTGAGAGAAAGTTACCAATTCAAACAAGTTAGAAAAAAGGCAAATTTAAATGAAGATCTTGAAGCAATATCAGAGAAAAAAACAATTAAAAACATTCTGTGTCATATTTTACATAAACTAATGGTCAATTAATGTCACGGTCATTTAGGAAATCTGCCAGGAAGTAATATGATTTCTCCACCAATAATGATTTATTCCAAATTTTAAATTTTGTGGCGTATAGGATTTTATTTTTGAGGGGATCTTATAATATAGACAAATCCCCAGATGGGGTTTTTTTTCTAAATGAGAGTGTTTATGAATTGGATAATTTAGCAGATTTGGGTTTCGGGTATTATAACTATGAGTGGGTCTAAATTCATCAAAAAGTGTATTATTTAAATGAACAAAATTTACTGTATCATAGATGTAGAAAGAAGTCAATGGCATTAATTTTAATTCCTTAAAAGAACGACGACAGCTTGATCCATATTCTGCCCCTATCATCACTCTAATAATACTTTTTTGGACTTTAAACACTTTGCTAATATCCCCTGAGTTTCCCCACAGAACAATTCCATAACGAAGCAGAGAGTGTATATAAGCATAGTTAATAATTTTTAATGTTGCTAGTGTTACTGAATTTTGAATACATTTAATTGCAAACCTAAAAGAAGTCAACTTACTAACCAAATAATGAATGTGTGATTTCCAATTGAAACTTTGATCTATATTAATCCCAAGAAATTTATATTTATCAGTGATATAAAATCCGTTCCATTAAATTGTGGTTATTGTTAATTCTGATGCGGAATTGCATAATGTTAGATTTATATTCATTTAGTAAAAGTCCATTTGATTCAAACCATTTCTTCAGATCTTTTAGTGTTAATTTCAAAGTGTTTTCTAATGCAGACAGGTTTTTTTCCTGAACTATTACACTTGTATCATCAGCAAAATAGTACGAACCTTTTGGAAACATGTGCTGGTAGGTCATATATATATATATAAGAAAGAGTGTGGGTCCTAAAATGGATCCTTGAGGGATGCCAAATTTTACTGTAGCCCAGTCTGAGTAAAAACGGGTTGCCCTCTCACTGATAACTGTTCTCTGCTTTCTCCCCAAAAGATATGATGTTAATAGCTTAAGAGCCGACTCCTCAATACAGTAGAGTCCCGCAAACTCGCCGTAATGTGGACTGGAAGGGTGCCGAGTTTGTGAAATGCCGGGTTATCAGGAACTAGGGTTAAAAATAAGAACAATACAATTTTTAAGCTTTTTAACTGCCTTTTTTATTTATGTTTATAGTACAAGTCAGTATTAAGTCATCAGATATAGTACAACAAATCCTTGGTATGAGTTGCGAATATGAGTCCATTTTTAAATCGGACTCAAAAAATCACTAATTTTCTGAGCCAAGTGATGGCCGAGTTATCCAGACTGCCGGGTTATCGAGAGCCGAGTTTGCGGGACTCTACTGTACCAATACTGCTTGATAATCTAATACAAAAACCGATCCAAACCTAAACCGAACCAAAATGTTGGAAAATGTTACATTCAGACAAGCATTTCAATGGCTATTATGTTGAATACTTAGGCCTATTAGTAAATAATTAAACTGTAAATTTGAAGAGCAAAGATCGTAGAAATAGTTAATAGTTTAATTGGTAGCTTTAATATTTTTTTATCGGCCGTAAAAAACACAGCATATTTTTGCCAAGAGTGGCTATTAATCTTTTATTTGTGTTTTGTTTTCAGGCTTCAATCCAGGTTCAGTTTCCACACCAGTAGGTCTAGGAGGCCGCTCAGCGTATTCTACTCCTGACAACGGCACCATTCAGTTCTCAGCCAAGCACAACGGCCTCTACCTCTTCATCAGCCGTGTACTGCGTCCTCTCTGGAACACCAGGATTGTGCAGAAAGTACACATCAATGGCAAGCAATACGTGAGTTTTGGTACTAATCACTTGTTTTAAGCTACATATATCTATAGCTATAAAAGGCAAAGCCCTCACTGACTGACCCACTCATCACTAATCCTCCTACTTCCCATTTACCTAGGAGACTGAAATTTGGTACATTGATTCTTTAGGCATTACATATTAATAGGAAAACTAAGTAGTTTTATCCTGATCTGACTTTCCGGCTCCGCCCCAAAGCTCTGGAATCTCTCATGTTAACCGTATGAGAATCTATATATTAGTAGGCAAGCATGTTTCTTTAAAACCTTTTTTCTCCGCTCAGATAAAATCTATGCATACTGATACTGTTTAAAAAATGTTTTCCTGTGGGTGTGCAGAATCCCTTTATAAATTAAAATAGGCTAAAAAATAATCACAAAAACTGAATTTAAAATTTTAAAAAATTAACATGGGCCGTATGGGTTGCCATGCTGGTGACGAAATAACAACGAAATATAAACAGAAAATCTAAAGAAATGGAAGAAATTCCAACCACATGTTTTATTTACAGCTTGGGGTGAAAATAGAGAAGTCTGTACATTAGATATTTTGGTTGAGTTTTCGACCACTGGACGACCTCTAGTTCATATTTAAAAGGAATTATTAAATCTTAACAGCTGTTTCAATAAAACAAAGAAGTTGGTTCTGTAATGATCAATAGCATTATAAAGTTACAAGGTTTACCAACAGGGGGCAGCACTAGACAACAGCTAATTTGAACTAAGCAGCAACAAAAACACAATGAGAACTGTCAGAGTCGGATTGTTTACAGTTATGTTTATGTTTTTCTTTTAATAACTAATTTGAGATATTTTGCGAATAGGACAATTTTACTTTTTAGGCACATAATTCATAAACTTATTGACTTTATTTTTTAAATTTTTTAATAAAAAAGTATTGAATGTTTTTTCCAAAAATAATGTCTGGGAAACGGAGTATCGTGTTAATAATTTTAGGGCATTACTGATCAAGTCAATGACTTGGATTGAAGGAATTACAGTAGACCCCTCTTAACCGACCCTAATGGGACCGGACCTAGGTCGGATAACTCAAAAGGTCGGTTAAAACTGGCAATCCCTAAAATCATAACATAATGAAGTGCTATTCATTTGGAATGATATAATCATTATTTTGAAGTCATACTTGCATTATTTATAAAATAAACTACTCTTATCTCCTTTTTCGTATTGATAGAAAAGTCAGAAATAAACACAAAACACGGTTAAGTCAAATAGGCCTACTTTCAGTGGAATATATTATAATACTAGGCAAGAGTCAATAAAAATTCCTATTTTAATAACCTTAGTACTGTAATGTATTAGTTGATGCTTTCCAAATCTATCGTAATACAGTACAGAATCTTTTGTCGAAATTAAAGATACAAGCAACCATTTTGTTACAAGACAGGATGTTTATTTATAGCCTCTCACTGGACGCTCGAGGCACAAAAACTATCTTGACCTTGGAGTTGTTAACCCCCTTCCCTGCCCTCCCAACAAGTTGCGTTGTTTGTTTACTCCAGCGATAAGATCAGTTCTCAAAATCGTAACGCACTTTATGATGTTGTAAATTTGCCACACAGATAACAAATCAGATCAGATGTGCTCGCGCAACTAACGATGATGACAAACTGACAATAGACTATGATATATTTTTAGTGATCAATACAAAATAACTTATTCTTAGTCATATCCATCCTGTGGAGATAAGCGTATGGTTCAGTTCTCATCGCCCAGCGTGGGATTGGAAATGCCGAGATTCCTAGAAAGTAGCGGATAGACCGAACTGCTCTCAAAGCAAGGTCGGTTAAAACAAACTGTATTATTTTACGATGGAAGGCGGATAATCCGATTATCGGTTAATACGAGGTCGGTTAAGAGGGGATCTACTGTATTATTATACCATATGAATGTTTGGAGTACAGTATGTCAATAAGGTGAAAACTATTTGACTAATTTAGCTGATTTTTTTATATTTTTTATTGTAATTAAAAGGAGGTAGCCTACAGCAGAGATAGTATTTTGGTGAAAACATCATGTAGGTTGTTCAAGAGGGAGTTATTTGAAGCTCCTGATAACATGACTGTTAGACAGTAAATTAATGCAAAAGGTAATTCTAGCCTTCAGCGGGCTTATAATAGTAATAAAACACAAAATTATATCGGGCGAAGCCGATGGGTAATAGCTAGTATGTATATATATATATATATATTTAGCTATAAAATTATGATTTCCATTTATTTAAGTGAGGTATTCAATTACATCAGTAGATGTGAAATGGGATTGCTGTTTTGTTTATCATGTCGCTATTATGACATATTACTGATTTCTCTTTGTACAAAAAATGTGACAGGTTGCAGAATGAAACTACAAAATTTGCAACAATAATAATTTATTATAATAAATAACCTAACTTTCGACTAGTATTAACAAATTTATGAACACAAAATTCCAGCTTAAGAAAAAATACAATTCCGAATTAGAATCTGGATTAAGTTATAGGTTTAAAATGCTACGATAAAGATTGTCAAGACTAATTCCATTTTGAGGAAAAGGGGGAAAGCTTAGCCTCCTGAGGTGACGATCACTTGGGACAAACTGTAGTTGCGCAGTTACCGGGTTCAGCGAGGAATTCCAGCCATGCGCGTGACACTTCTGGGCGTTGAGTTATGGTCGCCGGAATATTCCATGGTGAGGCAACTGGGCTGACGCAGAAGTTGGGAGGTTAAAACAGTTCAATATTACAGACCCTCCTCTTATATTTGAAATAAAGCAAAGCTTTTGTGACGGTATTGAGAGGGTTTCTTGAGGGTGTAGCAAAAAAACCTCCCCAGCTGATATGTAATGGGTCTGGGAATTTTTGGGGCCGTCACACAAACACGTTTTGAAAGGTAACATTGTAAGGATATTCAAATTTGAACTGTTTTCAAACATAGGAATCAGGAAGATTGTTTGGGTTACATGACCAGTTTGTTTAGGTTCATGTTTAAATTATCTGTCCAATGCAATAATATATATCTCTCAAGGTATGTTATATACTGAAATTCTGTGTAGTGGTGTTAGTAACAATACAGTATATATATATTTTTTTTTTCACAGCTTTAATAGTGTTTTAGTTTTGTGGAATAGTAGTTCAATTCCAAATGCTTGTAAAGTACAAAAATAAAATATTTCAAGATATGATTATGAAACACATTTTTGACTACTGTATTAAATAATTGTTCCAGTTGGTCAGTAGTGTGACGGGGAAAGAAGTAACTGTAGTTGCATCAAAACTCCTAGCATTGCGATCGTTCCTAGAAAAAAACACTCAGTTCACCTACACTTCAGCGACCCAGAAGTAAGTTCATTAAAAAAACAGTTCATTCTTGTTCCAAGACCCTAACACCTGTTGTCTTGTTTTTATTCCTTAAGGTTGTGCTAATCCCATTTCTCACTTTTTTGTTGTTTGTAAAAAACCATCTCCGTATTTTCTACAATATTTCTACATAATTTCCTAATTAGTGTTAAATATCCTCAGTAGAGATCTATCCATTCTCGATACCACAGACTCTCAGACATTGGTATTGGTGTTGAGAATTGATCGTCCATAAGTAGAAATTAAGGTTCGATTTAAAAATGCTTTATTCATGAGTTCAGTAGCATTTATTGAACAGTGTCAACGATTTCTTTTTAAAATATTTAAAAAATTGATGCACCACTGAATAGGCCTAACCGATTTTTGGGAAAATAATAATTTACTGTCACCATCTCAATTTGGCTTTAGAAGAAGTCTTTCAACAACCTTGGCTCTCACTTAATTTGTCAACTCAGTTTTGGAGGCACTGGATGGATTGCCGAGTGTTGCGGGGTTTTCTGTGATCTGTCCAATGCTTTTGATTGTGTGGACCATCAAATTTTTATCTACAAACTAAACAAAATTTGTGTAAGAGAAAAGGTGGGCCTTCTCTCAAATTACTTACACAACAGGAAACAGCGCACAGTAATTTATAGGGATGGGTTGGTTGTTAAAGTCAGTTTAAGCCGAGAATTTACATAAAAAGTCTATTTTGCGGCAGTTGGTTAGGTGGTTAGGAAGCCATTAAAGGCTTATCAGATGCTTGTTTACCGACTTTCATAATTTATTACTAGGGTAATAATTGCAATAAACCCATTATCAGCAGTCCGAAATCCACTAATAACATTATCAGGACAATAACAATTTTGTCAAAGCCAAGTACTTCCAAGAACTCATTGAGTCAGTAGCTTAGCTCATTAAGTCACATCTCGAAGAACTGTACGTCTACAAGAGCAGTGGGCAAAAATAACGTAAATTCTGTCAAATCTAATACGTCACTCTGTGCTGCATTTTCAATGCAATCGGGCATTAGTAATGAGTTCTTTTTAGACAGCGGTGCATCTTGTCATTTATGTGTTAACGTTAACATGCTTCTGAACGCAAGAAAAGGCCAAGCACTAATGATCACCACAGCGAATAATTAGACAATGGTGACTGATACCGTCAGTGATTTCGAGCTTCCAATATGTATTTCTGGTGAGGTCTCGGAAGTGAGTGTAAGTAATGTACGGTACATTATGTGCCTAACTTAAAAGTTAATCTTTTATCCGTGAGTCAAATTGTAAATAAAGGAAACTGTGGTATTCAATAGTGATGGAGTCAATGTTTTCAATTCAAAAGGTCAGCTCATTGCTTCTGCTTGTTTAATAAACAATCTGTTTAAGTTGGATATGCCTACGAAAACATCTGCATTATCCATGCAAAGCAATGGCTTAACGGTCTGGCACCAGCGTATGGGACATTTGAATTTCGATAGCCTTACAAGATTAATTAATTGCTTAGCTGATGATATCAACATTTCTGGTAGTAAGCCAGAAACAATTTGTGATATCTGTATGTTAGGAAAAAGTCATCGTTTACCTTTTTGTAAGAGTGAGTCTAAAAGCAGTCATTATCTGGAGCTAGTGCATTCTGACTTGGTTGGTCCTATGGAAGTAAATAGTCTTGGAGGGTCTAGGTATATTTTGACCTTTTTTTGGATGATTACAGTCACATGTGTTTAGTTTATTTTTTAAAATCAAAGGACGAAGTCAATGGTCACTTTAAAAACGTTCAAAGAGTATGCTGAAAAACAAACTGACAAGAAGATAAAAGTGGTGCGTACAGATAATGGTACGGAGTACTGTAATTGCACCTTAACTGAGTTTTTTAAGTCATGAGGTATTGTGTAGTGATGGGCGGATCCAAGAAAATGTCGGTACCGGATCCAGATCCGGATCTTGAAAAATTCCAGATACATACTGTCATAAGGGCTTGTTAAAAAAACGTAATTAACAGAATGCCATTAAATCATACTGTTTAAAATTAAATTGGTTAAGTTTAAAGGTTAATATATCTTATATATAGAGTAATCTCTAGTTTTTTTCTCTTTTTAACAAATATAAATATTTCTAGCGCTACAAATTCCATGGGGGTTTGTGGCAGGCACCTTACGACGTCAATAACCTGTATGGTTAGGCAATGTCACAGTACTGTATACTGCGATGTCAATAACCTCTACGGTTGGGCAATGTCAAGGTACTGTAAATTACGACGTCAATAACTTCTATGGTTGGGCAATGTCACAGTACTGTATATTACGACGTCAATAACCTCTATGGTTAGTCAATGTTACAGTATATGCCTCATAATTCTATTCTAAAAAAATATATTCTCATATCCCGATCTTTTCTTAAGATTCGGTGGATTCGAGATCCGGATTCGACAAATCCCTAGTGGTAATATACAGTACTGTGACAATGCCTAACCATACAGGTTATTGACGTCGTAATATACAATACTGTGACATTGCCTAACCATACAGGTTATTGACGTCGTAATATACAGTTCTGTGACATTGCCCAGCCATACAGGTTATTGATGTCGTAACATACAGTACTGTGACATTGCACAACCATAGAGGTTATTGGCGTCGTAATATACAGTACTGTGACATTGCCCAGCAATACAGGTTATTGACGTCGTAATATATAGTACTGTGACATTGCCCAGCCATGCAGGTTATTTACGTCGTAATATACAGTACTGTGATATTGCACAACTATAGAGGTTATTGACATCGTAATATACAGTACTGTGACATTGCACAACCATAGAGGTTATTGACGTCGTAATATACAGTACTGTGACATTGCCCAATTATAGAGGTTATTGACGTCGTAATATGCAATACTGTGACATTGCCTAACCATACAGGTTATTGACGTTGTAATATACAGTACTGTGACATTGCCCAACCATACAGGTTATTGACATCGTAATACACAGTTCTGTGACATTGCCCAGCCATACAGGTTATTGATGTCGTAATATACAGTACTGTGACATTGCCTAACTATAGAGGTTATTGACATTGAGTAAAAAATCGGTCTTTTACATGGATACAGACAGCTTTGTGTTAGTAAAAAAAATCGGGGAAAATCGGAAAAAATGGGATCCATCACAAGATCCGAAATTTTTTGGATTCGATCCGGTGCCGGTTCTAGCTCGGATCCGGCGGATCCGGTAGTCCGATATCTGGATCCGACCATAACTAGTATTGTGCATCAAACTACATGTCCTTAGACACCTCAGCAAAACGGAAAGGCAGAGCGTCTCAACCGTTCACTCCTAGAACGAGCAAGATGTTTGCTGATAGAGTCTGGGCTTCCTTCTAGTTTTTGGGCTGAAGCTGTGAATACTGCTGCTTACCTTCTGAACAGATCACCATGCAGGTCCATGGAACCAACTCCAATACAATTGTGCTCAGGTGACAAGCTTACTCTACATCTCAGAATTTTCAGTTGTTGGGCATTTGCTCACATTCCTGCCGAGAAACATAAAAAGAAAAGCTTAGTTCACAATCTACTCCTTGTATATTTGTCGGTTATTGTCGGTTTAACAAAAGGGTTCAGGTTTTTGATTCTCAGAAGAAAATTACTTTCATATCTAGAGATGTTACTTTTTCTGAAAATCAGTGGGGAAGTTATTTATTGAAAAATGTGAGTAAAGACTTAAATTTTTACGTGTTTCCCGAACCAACAGGAAATGTATCTGATAGTCAGGACAGTACTAGTGGTCAGACACGAACCGGTCCACATGTGTCCAATAATGATGATGTACTTCCAACAGGATTCGGTGTAAACCGAAGTAAAGACGATGTTACTTATGTTACTGACATGAACATTATTCCGGGCCCAACAACTCGACCGCAGCGCATCAGAAACCTCCCGGCTGCGTTGAACGATTATGCTACTTATTCAATCTTCTCTGGCGAACTATCCGATCCAATATTTCGCAAAGAAGCATTGAGTAGTGAGTTCAAAGACTCTTGGAAGAATGCTATGGACTGTGATAAGTCTCAAATCGAAAATAAGACTTGAGAATTGGTCGAACCCCCAGCATTGAGGAAACCTTTAAACTGTAAATGGTTTTTCAAGTCAAAGGAAAATGGCAAGGGTCAGGTAACTTGTGATACTGTAAGGCACGACTAGTTGTTAAGGGCCATGTCATACGAGCGCTATTGCCGTCGCGCAGATGCCGTCGAGATAGCGCCGGAAAAAGTACATGTCATACGTGACGGCAAATGCTTCACGTTGATGCCGTCCCGCCAACGCCAGGTGCCTGTCATACGTAGCGTCTTCTGGGCGCATTTGCCGTCGTGGCAATTATGTTATTACCAAGATGGACATAATCCAGTTAGGTTGTATCAGCTTTTTGCACATTTTAGATACATATGAAGAGTATTATCGGAATCCAAGACGATGGGGAACCCATCCTGTGCTTTCTTCTCGTTTGTCGACAGGACAGTTTCATCTGATGTTCCAGGAACACAGGAAGTATGAAGATACATTTTTTAGTTACTATCAAATGTCGGTCGTACAGAGGTGGCAGTTTTTCAACAAATAAAATTTTCCGTACCAAACATAGTATCAAATACCGTAATGATCACTCCAAAGGTGTTCCAGTTGTTCTGACAGTGCTCACGCGGCAAATGCGTCCCGCTGGCTCTAGCGCTCCGTATGACAGGGTCCCGCGTCACGTGCGCCGCGTCGCTAACGCGACCGTCCGCGTTGGCTGCGCTCAGCGTCCGGCTAACGCGGACTCGCCGACGGCATTAGCGTCCGTATGACATGCTTCATAAGTACCCCATTGCCGGGTCGGAGCGACTTTAACGCGACAGCATCTGCGCGACGGCAATAGCGCTCGTATGACATGGCCCTAAAGGAATCGACCAAAGGAGGGGAATAGATTAGGATGAAACATTTTCACCTGTTGTGCGTTACAGTTCGATTATGTTTCTA